TTTATGTTGAAGGATGCTAAATAGATTAAAGTACTGCTCACAGGGCACAGGTATTAACTCGCTTGACACTGTGGCAGTGTTTAAAAATAAGTTGCAATTTCTAGGTTAAAAACAAAAAGATATAAATATACGACTTCCAGTGAAAAAGAGGAAAAAGGTAGAATTATATTAAAATATAGTACAAAAGAAGATAAAAAGAACACAGCAGGTATCATGAATACAGCAAGTCAATAAATCCAGTCCCAAATACACCCATTATAATATTCAACAAAATAGACTAGTTACTCCTATTAAAGACAAATATTACTTGACTATATATAGTTGAATAAAGATAAATTAACCATGAATTAACTAGTACAGTGATATATTAAATGTAATAGAATTTATGATAAATCATTTTGTCATTGTAATTACTATTGTTTTTACATTCTTGATGTACAATTTTGCAGCATTACTGCTTGATAAGCAGAATCTGTCACACACAGAAAAACAATCACACCTTTATGTTTAATGTATTTATGTGAGTATATACTGTCAATTTCTTGTAATGTTATTTGTGAGCCAAGATGGCCAGGGGCAGACCTGTGTTATTTTTGGTTAAATGATTACAAGCTTGCTTTGCTTTTTATACACTGAGATTCATGCCACGGAACAAATACTGAATCTTAAAAACTCCAAACTATGGTGCAGTAAAATAAAGATTAGGACCTGTAAAAACAGAAACCAAGCGGGAACAGGTGGCCTATAGCAAAGAACACCTGAGTGCGCTTTAAAACCACGGAATGCAGCGGTGTGGGTGCAAGGCAGGAAAGACAGCTTTGGTCCCATGATCTCTTCCCAACATAGGGTCTGCATGAGAGTCCCGTAATGAGGGCTTGTGTAAGAACTCTGCTCACAAGACTCCAGAGTGTCTTTGTAGAAGGTGGAACTTGCAAGGCAGGAAGGCCTTGCAGGGCAGAGATAACTGCAGCACCACAGGCTCTAAGTTCACAGAATATGGCGTAACTGATTCTGTGTCCACAATGCTCAGGAGATAAAGCCCCTTGATGCACCGTGTGGTCAGAACTGGTGGTGCCCGCCCTATCCGCTGTGCTCCCATGCAGATGCACCTTGATACTATTCAGCGTCCTAGGTTCGCATTTCTTACAAGAACCACATTTGCTATTGAATGCTGCAGACCCACGCTCTCCCCCACCCCATCTTACCCCACAATAGCTTTTAGCTGACCCTTCTCACCTCCCCTCACCACCGCCCGCAAGATTAACAAGATAATGCACCTAATAAAAGCGTGTGGAGCCCAGGGCTCAGGGCTGACGGGGTCCCTACTCTCGTGCTGATCCCCTGGACCCTACTGTGGAACTCTACTCTTGTCTTTATCACCCCTCGTCACTGCCAGGGCTAAGAGCACCCACGTACAGGGTTGGGGCTGGCACCCAACAGTTACTCTTTTGTAATTGTGTTTACAGGTCCATGGAGACGACTAAACAGACGAGCACTGAACACACATACAACCCATGTATTTCTGAGAAGACTAAGGGATTTTAAAATTGCTTATCTAGGTAATGCAAATCCTTGGTATGCTGGAGTCTCTGCTGATGAGAAAAAAGAAACTGCTGGTTGGGAAACCTGCACTGGTTACTGCAGAGATGTTCACCGTGAACAGAGTGGGGTTATTTAAAAAGAACCTAAAGCCGAAAGAGTGCAAAAAGATACAAAGGCAATCACTAGAAAACAAGCTGGTTTTGGTAGCCTGGATTCAGGGAGAGATCCAGGGAGACATGAGTCCTGTGTGTGTCCTGGACCTGTTCATTGTGCCTGTAGAGATGAAAATCGTGAAACCACTGGCCCAGGGCCTGATCCTCAAGCACAAAACGCCAGGGAATGGCGACAATGCTGCCTGAGGCACGCCAGTTGTGTCAGGATAAACAACAGTATCCCAAATACTTTGTTTTGATGTTACTTTGCTAGTCAAATACACAGAAAAAAAAAAGTATCAAAATTTGGAGCATCTACCACAGGCATATGTGCTCAGGGGCTTTCACGTTAAGCTCTGCCCACGGGGAGTTCCTGGTACTGATCAGGGTCACCTGGAAGACACTGAAGAGACAAGTGATGCCAGTAAACAGCCGTGCTCACTCTGCAAGCATGTCAGCATCTGAAATCAGCGAGGAAATGTTTCCATCCCAAATCCGTCACTGTCTGCGGAACTCCTCCGGAGAGGAGTAACGAGGTGCCTACAGTCAGGCACTTGGTAATCAACTCTCTGAACTTAACCTGCACCCAGTGAAACACAGGAAGAGACAATGGGAAAGGCCCAGAAATTCCCCAGGACGCCGAGTGCCACCTGTGATAAGACTATTCCTAGTGTCAAGTCCTTGGCAGCTGTTCTGTCAGTTCCCACAGACTAACACTTACCCTCAGAGCCACAGGACCCTGCAGGAGAACATGAGACATGAGCTACATTTAAAATGTCAAACAAAATCCAATATTCTGCACCAACCATTGTTTCACCATTAGAAGTGTTACTTGATGTTTTTCAGTGATTAAAAGGTTTCCAGTATGTAAATGTATGCCATTTAAAGTGTCCCTGCAATGTACTCATCACTTATGATGAGCACCCATGTGTTAACTTTCTATTCTCCACAGATCTATAAGGTAGGTGCTGCCATTATCATGATGAGAACTTAAACATCGAGAGGGTAAGTGATTTGTCTAAATTCAGACGCTGCATGGGAGGAGGGTGGGGGCTTGATCCTGTCTGAAGCCAAGGAGTGCCTTTAAATGACATGCTCTATTATGATTTGTGAATCATCTGCTATTAGGTTTTCAGACGTGGGCACATCACATACTCTTCCCCTTTCTCACTGTAAAAATTACCTTATAACATTTTAGATTTCCACTTACGTAAAGTTACAGGTTTCAGGTACTATCTCTATCTGGTAACAGACAGTGTAGACTATCTGTGTGGTTAAGGGAAAGTGTTAAGAAACCCAGCAACTCACAGTAAAAAAGACCACTTGAGCCTACAGTGAGTGCAACTAAATCATGCTGACATTAGCATCCCTATTAATCCAGGAAAGGGAAGCAGAAATTAAATTATTCTTCTATAAGCAACCTTCCCTGAGTCCTTCCCCCTCCTGTGGAATGGCATCCTGCTTTACAAGTTTTATAAGTTTATAAATTCTCATTTTCCATAGCTGATAACTCTAAGTTTCTGTAACACAGCAAAGATCATGAGAAATGCCTAAACAGACCAGACTCCCGCCTTCTAGGCACTGTGGTGGAGGGGAACAGATGAGGCCCGTGTCAGAACCCTTGAGCTCTACAGATAATAAGCATCGGTGCTGCATAGCAAAAATCATATGTAAGCCCGAGTTATGTGCCTGTCACTGCTTAATAAGCTGTCTTTGTTCTGCAGATGCAAACTTGTTTTCCCGTCCCTGTGTACTTCATGTGTAAAAGGTGAAGCCTTGTCTTTGTTCAGCACTCAGCCATTTTGGATTCAAATCCGAGCTGAGCTGGTGTGCACCTAAAATTAAATCCTTCTGCAAGCTCACTGATCTCTTCGGTCTCTCGAATTCTGCAACAATATGAAGGTCATTTTGTCTAAGTTCATCAAGCCTTGTGATCACAGGATTATATCTTTAGCATACTGGTAAGCAGCAATGCTAAGGAAAGCCCACCCTGGCTAGGAGTTTTGCATTGAGAGAGGTATTCTCCCATCCTTTGGGAGGGAATAATATAAAATGATTATTTCCCTTCTCTTTGCTCATCTGCGCCTAAACTGCGAGGATCTATGGATACGCACCTCATTAGAAAAATGCACATAACAGCAGCAAGAAAAAAAGTCCCATAGAAAACACAAGGATACCATGTTTCCTACACAACAGTCACTTGTCAGGCAACTGTGTGAGATTCCCAGTTCTCTCCAGAATGGAAGTCTCCTTACACACACACACACCCCATGTCCTCACCCAAATCTCACCGACTTGTAATAATCCCCATATGTCAAGGGCAAGACCACGTGGAGGTAACTGAATCATGGGGGTGATTTCCCCCATGCAGTGCTCATGATAATGAGTCTCATGAGATCTGATGGTTTTATAAGCGTCTGGCATTTCCCCTGCTTGTACTTTGCCATCTTATGAAGGTACCTTGCTTTCCCTTCACCTTCTGCCAGAATTTAAAGTTTCCTGAGGCCTCCTCAGCCATGCTGAACTGTGAGTCAATTAAGCCTCTTTCCTTTATAAATTGCCCAGTCCCAAAAATTTCTTCATAGAGTGGGAATGAACTAATACACTGTATATATACAAAATAACACTATATAATATACAGCACTACAAACGAAACTAGGGTATACAAATTTCTTTCAACATGAATGCAAAAAGTCTCAAAAGATACAAAACTGAATTTACCAATATATAAAAAAACTTATATTTCATTACCAAAAGAGATTTAACCCCCCAAAAAAGCAATGTTGTTTTCGCATCTAAAAGTCAATTTGGCTGGGCACAGTGGCTCACATCTGTAATCCCAACACTTTGAGAGGCCAAGGCAGGAGAATCACTGGAGCCCAGGAGTTTGAGATCAGCCTGGGTGACAAAGTTAGACGCCATCTCTTATTTTAGAAAGACAGTTAGTGTAATATACCATGTTGACAGAATAAATTTCAAAACCACAAGATCATTCAAATAGATGCACAAAAGCCAAGAGACAAACTTCAACAACACTTGACAATAAAATATTCAATAAATATTGAACAGCAGAAAACTTTCTCAACCTGCTTTAAGGCATTTATTTTTAAAACCCTCAGCTAACATCACACATGATGGGAAGACTGGATGCTTTCTTTCTCAGATTAGACACAAGACACTTTTCTATCACAGGTCTCTCTCCTTAAGCAAATGTGACCTGTGCAAATAGCCAAAAATAATGACATTGTAAAGAACAGATGAAAATAATTCATGAGAATATACTCTATAATAAACTTTACACACTTACAAATTGACAGCAACTCTTTATTAGCAAAGAAAATAAACTTTTTTTTACACCAAAAGAGAATAGTTTTTGTCAACTAAAATAACGGAACATATATATAATAGTGTTGAAAATATACAAATCCTGCCATATAAAGCCAGTAAAAAAATCCCAGCAATTAACAAAGACTCATTTATCAATGGCCAATTAACCAAACAACTACATAGAGGTTAAACTTACATATACATGTTAGAAATACTTTCACACACCTAGTATGTAACCCACAAATTTTTTTTTAAATGGCTATGCAAGAAAAAAAGAATGAAAAAAGGAAAATAAAGAAAATGAACATGCCCAACACACTTTAAAATAGATAGAAAAATAAAATTTACTAGCTTTAAAATAAAAATACATATTTAACTCTTGTACTACTGCTTGAAAAGTCTCACCTCTATGTTTGTTTGCAAAGTAAGTGAAAATCTATATTCTAGAGACGCTCTTTAAAAATGAGAATTGATAAATTCAGCTTATAGCTCCTAAAACATCTCGTTCACGTAGTGAATTTTCTTGAGAATTGTACTATAATTAATTTGCATAAGGCTTTCCATATTACTTACATTTACAGAATTTATTTCCAGCAGGAGTTTTCACATGACTTTTAAAGTAACTGTTAAAATTCACAATTTTATGTATTTCCCAAGCTACCAGGGTTTCAATCTGGTGGGCATTCTTTTATTTATAGGGTCAATCTGGAGTATGTGTTACCATAGGTCTTCGAGTGAGTTACAGGATAAATGCAGGCATTCCCACATTTGAGACACTCATAAAGTTCTTCTCTAGAATGATAGTTTTTCTCTAGAATGCAGGTGTTTTTATACCATCACATGCCTGCAATACCACATTTTATACATTCATTAGGATTTCCTTCAGTGTGAATCCTTTCAAGTTTTTAGAAAGAAATGGAAAAATTAAAGGCTTTACCATACTGCTTATAGGGTCACAGGGTTTATCTCCAGTTTGATTCCTTTCATGTGTTTGAAGAAATCTGGGAAAGTTAAGTACTGTCCTATACCTTACATTCACAGAGTTTCTCTCAAGCATGTGATTGTTCATGTTTTTGACAAGAACTGTAATGACTGAAACCTTCATGTTTTTTTGCATTTATAGGGCTTTTCTCTAATATGAGTTTTTTTATGTTTCCAAAGGGTACTAGCACGACTAAAGGCTTTACCACATTTCTGACATTCATAGGGTTTCTCTCCAGTATGAGTTCTTTCATGGTTATGAAGGTAACTGGAACATCTGTAGACTTTCCCACAATTCTTACACACATAGGGTTTCTGTGCAGTATGAGTTTTTTCATGTTTCTGAAGGGAACTGGAATATCTGAAGGCTTTCCCACATTTCTTACATGCATACGGTTCTTCACCAGCATGAGCCTTTATATGTCCCTGCAAGGAACTGAGACAACTTAATGCTTTGCCACACTCCACACACACATAAGGCTTCTCTCCAGTGTGGGTTCTTTCATGGTAGTGAAGGCCATTGGAATAGCGGAAGGCTTTCCCACACTGCTTACATTCATAGGGTCTCTCTCCAGTATGAGTTCTGTCATGGTCATGAAGGTGACTGGAACGACTGAAGGCTTTACCACATTTCTTACATTCATAGGGTTTTTCTCCAGTGTGAATCCTTTTATGTCTATTAAGAGAACGGGAAAATCCAAAGGCTTTCCCACATTCCGTACATTCATTGGGTTTCTCTCCAGTGTGATTTCTCTGATGTATTTGAAATAAACTGGGAATATTAAAAACTTTCTCACATATTTTACAGCTAGAAGGTCCATTTCCAATGTGCACTACTGTGTCTCTCTGAACCCTTGTGACAGAAAGGGACGTTTTCTGACACTGTTTATATGTACATGGCTTCTCTCTGCATTCCTCACACCTATGTGGGTTGTTTCCAGAGTGAGATATGATGTGCCTATGAAGGGATCAATGACATGAAGAATTCTTCACACACGTTGTATTCACATGGTTTTACTCCAGTAGACACTTTTTCATTCAAATTAAAATCTGGCATCTGGCTGAAGGTTTTTCTACACTAATTTATTGAATTTTACACAGTGTCTCTATCAAATGACTTCTACAGAAAATGACAAACCCATCATTAATGGTTTATTAATTATTTTCCTTTATTACTAAATCTGAACTGACATTGCTACCTATCAGAGAAAGTGCAAGTTTTCTACCATAAACAAACTGAAATGGATTGATTAGTCTGCAACATGGCTCCCTCCCTTATAGCTATTAACAAAACAGTAATATTCTTATATGCAGTTTCTTATTACTGAATACAGTTTGGGTATCTACTCCCTTCAAATTTCATGCTGAAGGTTGATCCTAATGTTGGAGGTATGACCTAGTGTGAGGTCTTTGGGTCATGGGAGCAGATTCCACATAAGTGGCACTGTTGTGGTCATAGTGACTTCTTACTCTATTAGTTCCTAAAAGATCAGATTGTTTTTTAAAAAATGGCCGGCACAGTGGCTCATACCCGTAATCCCAGCACCTTGGGAGGCTGAGGTGGGTGGATCACTTCAGGTCAGGAGTTTGAGACCAGCCTGGCCAATACGGCAAAACCTTATTTCTACTAAAAATACAAAAATTAGCCGGGCGTGGTGGCGTGTGCCTGTAATCCCAGCTACTTGAAAGGCTGAGGCAGGAGAATTGCTTGAACCCGGGAGGCAGAGGTTGCAGTGAGCCAAGATTGCACCACTGCATTCCAGCCTGGATGACGCAGTGAGACTGTGTCTCAAAAAAAAAAATAAAAGTTTGGCACTTCCTCTCTCTTGCTCCTTCTCTCCCCATGTGACATGTCATCTCCCCTTCCCCTCCTACCATGATTGGAAGCTGTCTGAGGTCCTCAGCAGAAGCAGACGCTGGTTCTATGCTTCTGAGAAAGCCTGGAGAACCATTAGCCAAATAAAACTCTTCATTTTGAATTACTCAGCCTAGGTATCTTTTTTATAGCAATGCAAGTAGACTAAAAACACATGTTACTTCAGTGTAACATGGATTGTAAGTGTTTGCAAAATAGTCCAAGTGAACTGTTTTGCAAACACAATCCATGTTACACTGAAGTTTATATTTTTGGTAAAAATTTTGAGAATAAATTGATGTTGTCCTTAATTTTTCTTGTTTGCTTCCTCACTCCCCAGACGGTGTTCTGCTCTTTTTTCCCTGGCTAGAGTGCAAGGATGCAACCTTGGCTCATTGCAACCTCCGCCTCCCAGATTCAAGTGATTCTCCTGCCTCAGCCTCCCAAGTAGCTGGGATTACAGGCATGTGCCACCATGCCTGGCTAATTTTGTATCTTTAGTAGAGACGAGGTTTCGCCATGTTGGTCAAGTTGGTCTCAAACTCCTGACCTCAGGTGATCCGCCTGCCTCAGCCTCCCAAAGTGCTGGGATTACAGTCATGAGCCACCACACCTGGTCTTGTTTGCTTGTTTTAAACATATGATTACCATACTACAATTGTCCCCAAGGTGGACTGCTCCTTCTTGTGAGTACAAATTACCTTAGATTTCTCCAGGACTTTTTGTACTGATCTTCGAAGCTCTGGTCTTCCCCTTTGTTTCCTAAAATGTAGACCCAGAAATATATTACAAATTATTTGAAATTATAGAAAAGTTACTAGATTCTAGGCGCTATGGTGGGGATATGGTTTTTACCCACCAAAAGGAATGCTGTAATTTGGTCACCAACACGGCAACATCATTTGTGTTATGGGTACAGAGTCCTTATTAATAATTAATGTCCTTGCTTGGGAGTGAATGTTTTCTCTTACTCTTGCAAGACTGAATTAGTTACCAGAGGGCAAGCTGTTACAAAGGCAAGTTTAGCTTCCTAGAACTGCCCTTACTTTCTCGCAGTGTGATCCCTTTACACATGACCACTCCCTTCTGCTTCATGTCACGAGGTCCTTACCGGATGCAACCTTGGACTTTCTAGCCACTAGAACCATAAATCAATATAAAATTATTTTTGTAAATTACCCAGGATCAGGTATTCTGCTATAACAATTAAAAACAGACTAAGAAACAAGAGTCACTGCACGCTGGGTCCATGCCTTATTCATTTAGCAAAGTGTTCCCTTTGTACATTCCAAATAATGGAACAACACTGAAAACCATGAAATATTTACTCTCTGATTGACTAAAGAAATATTGTGATTCTTACCTATAGAAGCCAGGTTCCTGAAGGTTTCCTGCATCACATCTCTATAGAGATTCTTCTGGGAAGGATCCAACAAAGCCCACTCCTCCTGGGTGAAGTTCACAGCCACATCCTCAAAGGCAACAGAGTTCTAAAACAGTCCACATTTTGGTAGAGGAGGATGGATGAGACTGAAAGCACTGGAAATATATAGTCAATTCATAAGATGTTCACCTGACTCTGTGGTGAACATTTATTTATTCCACAGCTTAGTCATTAGAACTACGACTCTGTCTACACTTACTTTCTCTACACAGCAGGTTAAAGTTGAACTAATCAGCAAGGAAGCAGCAAAGGAATACCCTTTTTGTTGGGGGATCCAGGGAGTAATATTTGCTGTTATAATTTTTCTTTATAGAATATACCTATAGTATATATTATAACAAAGTCTTAGTATCTGGTATGTATAAGAGAGTTAATATTAGCAGTCACTAGACTACTTATCCTTAGAAATACCTGCTACTAAGTTCAACCTTTGCTGGTATCAAGGGAACTTAACCATCCTGCCAACCTAAGTGATAACTGCGGCTCACTGTTGCTAAATAGTTTATCTAAGCAATCTGAACAGGAGTTTATCTAAGCAAACAGGAGTACTTGCTGAACTCCTGTTTTCCTTCCAAAAGTCTATTATTTTGTTTTATTGTAGCAGTGGTGGCTAGGGGATCAGCCTCAATAAACAAACAAAAACATACTCTGAGCACGGAACATCTGATGAGCTTCCCTGTAGACAACAGCTCATATATGATGTCACAACTTTTTAATTGGGAAATTGAGCCCAATCCATGTGGTTACACCAAGAGAAAACATGTAGAAGCTTGCAAGCGGTTCACTCAAGACCAAATCTAATCAAGAGGTAATTAAAACTAATAATATTCAATAATCCCAAAATAATTATTTTACAATTTCTACTGAAAAATGTCAAAGCAGAATAGAGTAAGTGAAAAGAAGGCATGTGTTCAAAGAAAAAAACTTAATGTCATCTAGATATCACCTCTTACAAAAGATATTCGTGTAAACTTTCAGAGATGCCTGAAACAGACTTTCTAGCAGTTCAGCAAAAACTACTTTTCAAAACCTACAAAAATAACAAATGTCTAACAACCATCACAGCCTTCTGAATAACAGTGGGATGGCTTGCCTAACACCCATCAATGATTTTCAAATGTAATATTCAGGGCAGTGTAGTATAAGTAGAGAGATAAAGAAACAGGCCAAGAGGAGGACTTTAGTCTTTAATGAGCTGCAATTGATATGGAAAGCTGACTAGTAACAGAGGAGACACTGTAGAATAGTGAAGGAAGTATCAAGGACTTTAAACATGGAATAAAGCTAACTGGTATTTAATTGAAAAAAAAAAAAGGATTGTACTGACCTCTATTAGGTGGACAATTATCATTCTGTTGTATATTCAAACATGAAAAGCACAACTAGACCACTTGCAGAAGTCACAGACAAGGTTTTTTTTTTTTGACAAATAGGAGAAAAGAAGTAAACAACAGAGACTGACAAACTCAAATATATTAAAATTAGGGGAATTAAAACACAAAAAATAGTAAAAAACCTGCAATACATGCAATATAAAAAAATTAGTATGCAGAGTAAAAATGAACAAAATGTGATTTAAAATGGGAAAATCAGCAAAAGATACATAAAAGGGAAAATAGAAATCTCTTTCTACGGAAAGAGATCCATTTCCTTGGTAATGAAATAGCCAAATAATATGGCATGTAGATAATAGTTCACATTCTTTAGAAGAATGAAAATTAGAGAATCTCAAATGGTGATTACCATACCAAACAAACACACAAATTAAGGCAAAGGCAGTGAATATACCCCATTGCTATTTCCAGTAATTTGAACTTTACCACAATCTACAGTCCAGGAATTTTTCTCTTGTGTCCAGAAAATTTATTGTGCATTTTTAGAGACTGGCATATAATGACAGAAGCAGTATTTTCCTCCAAAACAAAACAAAACAAAAAAAACAAAAACAAAAAAATCTTGAAAAAGCACAACCCACTGCAATGGATGAGTATAAGTGGATAGCACACAGCCTCAGATACTAACGTGTAAAACACAATGAGGCAAGGAAACCACTGACAAACCTTTTTATTTTAATTTCACTAATATTTATTGAAAGTTCAAAGGCAAAACTAAAAACAAATGAATTGAAAAAATATGAAAAACAGCCAAAGAATCAGTAGGGTAGTCATCTGAGAGGCAAGATGAAAATAAGTCTGGGAGGTGACCAACAGTAAACTCTAAAGACTCTGCAAGGCTCAGTTATAAATCATGGTGACAATTTCAGTGATTTTTTTTCAAGACAAGGTCTTGCTCTGTTGCCCACGTTGGAGTGCAGTGGCATGACCAAGGATCAGTCCTGCCTCTACTTCTCAGGCTTAAGCAATCCTCCCACCTTAGCCCCCAAAGTAGCTAGGACTACAGGCACGTGCCACCATTGCTGGCTAATTTTTTTACTTTTGTTGTAGAAATGAGATGTCACTACTTTGCCCAGGATGGTCTTAAACTCCTAGGCTCAAGCGATCCTCCCATCTCAGTGTCCCAAAGTGCAGATGTTTCTAATTACTAAAAATTATGAAAAAGTTGTATTCTTTTTTTTTTGAGATGGAGTTTCGCTCTTGTTACCCAGGCTGGAGTGCAACGGCGCGATCTCGGCTCACCGCAACCTCCGCCTCCTGGGTTCAGGCAGTTCTCCTGCCTCAGCCTCCTGAGTAGCTGGGATTACAGGCACACGCCACCATGCCCCGCTGATTTTTTGTATTTTTAGTAGAGACAGGGTTTCACCATGTTGACCAGGATGGTCTCGATCTCTTGACCTCGTGATGCACCCGCCTTGGCCTCCCAAAGTGCTGGGATTACAGGCGTGAGCCACCGCGCCCGGCTCATTCTTTTTTATACTATATTTCATAATAAAAAATTGAATTGTTTTAAAAAACTATTACAAACAGTGTCCTGTAATGTGGCAATCTGAGTTTTAATTCACAGATTTGGCACTAAGAAAGAAACAGAGCAAGGCGACATAAAACACTAACTCCTCAGCAAGCAGCAGGTCAAAGTGCATGCTGGGCATCTGGCAGGGCAGGCTGCTAAGTCGGAGCAAGGGAAGACAGACTTACAGGGTGATGGGCAATGTCTGTACATCCTGCTTCTGGTACCAACTGTTATGGTCACCTGCAGAGATGTGGCTTTGACTTTTATCGGGGAGAGTAGCAGGCCTCTCAAGGTGGTTAAGTGAGGAAGAAAAAAGGCCAGGCACCAGTGTTTTTATTGAGGTTAGGTGAGAAGCTAGGATCAGAATTCACTTTTATGGGCAGGAGTTTGCATGGTTAAATCTGCTCCTGCCATTAAAGGAGGAAGCACTTAAGTTTTTTTTTTTTTTCTTAGCCAGATGTGGGTCCACAGGTGGAAGAAAAAGGGTTCAGTATCAAAATTTGTCAGCAGTTAGCCATTAAAAATTGGAGAGACACTTCTGGTTTCCAATCTCACAGATAAAGATATGGAAGGTGACAATGCACATCTGCAAAAGTAACAAGCAAACAAACTAAAAAAAATCACACTCTTAGATTCATCACAGGGCAAGCCATCTTCTCAAATTTGAGACATTGATGAATCCAAATAATCACAACTTACTAAACCAGAAAATCATAAGAAATCCCTGTGGGAAGCAGTTCATGTGCATGAAAACTAAACTGTAATTGGTGAGTTGCTGAAGAATGAGACAATCTCCAGGGTAGCCAGTCTTAGGCATTCCTAAAAGTTTGTGAGTTTTACCTCCAAAAACTCTACTAGGCTTTTACAGTGAAGATCACAGAAAAATTGTTTTATGCTTTCAGCAGAAGAAAAATGTACTTGTTTGCAAATATGCCCATAGAATTATCTTCTTTTTAATAGTTCTGCCATAAGCAGAAACTATTTCTCAAAAGCCTAACCAGCTGAAATTTTTACTGGAGCCAAACCTCCAGGGTAAAGGAAACGCCCAATTCCATTACGCCTCTAACCTCCTGCTTCAGTAACAGAGGGGTAAAAACAGAGAAGTGCTTGTAAAAGTCATAACCCAGGCACACAAAGGCTTTCTAAAAATGAAACTAAATCATAAGTCAATAAAATGCTTCTCCTCCCACCACACCTTACCAGCCCATCGACAAAAGCAGAATACGTCAAGATGATTGACCAGATGCAGCCAAGAGGAACATCTGTCGCCGAGACCGGGACACTGGGAAGACTGGTGTATTCTGAGCAGGTGTTCAGAAGGCAGGCCTTGAGAGTGGATGGAAGGAAACACAGATGCTGGACTGAAGGGGACGGAAGCTGGGAACCCTGCACGGGGCTACTGCATGGAAGCTCATTCATGGCCCTAGTGACTCCTGAGGAGGGAGGAAGGTAAACAGGTGAGGAGTGAGCCACTCTCATCATGGGCTCCTGGATTCCTGGCAGCAGGGGACCCCGTAAACACCTGAGCTGGCATCAAGAACTGCTTAGAGAGGTGGTGGGACAGGACTCTAGGCCGCGCAGAACCCAGAGAGTTTGTGTAGAACACTGGCAGCAGAGGATGGCCAGGGCTGGCCATCCCTTAATACTGACCATGCACCTCTAGGGGACTTTAGTCTTAGGGGAACTATTGCACCTGGACAGAAGAGGACAGTCTTGCCCATGACACAGGACCAGTCTGACTCAGTGGCGTCCTGTCTGTGGTGCTCCCCAGGGACCCCCACCTGGCCATGCCTACTTGCAATATAGTCTCAGATGCTCAACTGGGGTGCTTCCTGGGGGCCCTCACTATAGCTTCTTCACTGGCAAACTGCATCTGACCTTGCAGAGCTAAAGCAGAGCAGACCCCACTGACACAGCCCACCCGCAGCCTGTCCCCACCACACCCACCTCCACGCTGTTTTGCCAGCACACACTTGCCCATGGCCACTCCCCCCAGCTTTGCCGGCACACACATGTGGACCACTCCCCTCCCCTGCTGGCGTGTGTACGTGCACCCCACCACACCCCTGCTGCCAAATTAAGCATACCCCCTCTTGGCCATGCTGCCAATGCTGCTGCAAATTTATTCATGGGCACTGG